CCAGCAGTGATTTTTTTTTTTTTTTATGACTCCTAAAAGGTGCCCTGCTTCCTTTTGTTTTGCTTTTCTTGATTTTACAGCCCCATTCCTCAGGGAAATCTCAAAGTAGAGAGAATTTGGCTTCCAATTTGCCTTAGGAGAAGGTCTACATAGCTGATAGACGTTGACTTTTATTTCAACAAAAGACAAATTCCTGTTTTGAGTGTGATAGCTAATCTTTTCTTGTACCCTGGTGGCATTGTTTTTCACAAATTTCATTTGAGCACCTAATCAGGTACTCATTTTCATTAAATGACATTTGAAATTTCGACTATAGGTTATGTTTGTAAACGGGTAAAGAAAGGGTGGCAAAGAATTTTTAATGTGACTCCCACTATTTGCTCTTTTGAGGTCTGTTTCTGTTTTGTGAAAGAATATTTGGGCCAAATCAGTCTGTAATTTGTTAGTTGTGACTTTGAACAAATTTCTTTTTTCTCACAAATAAAGATAGGTGACTTTCCCGAAAATTATACTCTGTTTATGTTTCTCAAGGGTATGGGGGGGAATGGAGATTAATAGTTAAATAGATTAAATGTTATATTACAGTAAAAGGCTGGTCATATTGCTATTTGAGAACTCAAATTGAAGTAGGTAATTTCCACCCACTTTGGGACATTTTTTTGCTGATTTTTCCTTCAATAAGTCTTATTCAGGTCCATGTATCCCTTTATGACCCTTAGTAATTTATAAACTTTTCATATTTACTGTCATGAAAAGCTGTGAAATAGGTAGAGCAAATTTTATATTGCCCATTTTGAAACTGGGGAAATAGAAGACTGAGAGGTATTGTATTTAGCAAATACATACACTTAGTAATGTCAGGCCTTGTTTTAAGTGCTTTACAAATATTAACTAATTCTCAATTTCTCTAGGTCATAGACACTACTGTAAAATAAAGCTAACAAATAAGAGATGTGAAGTATTGCCCAGTGTCACACAGATAGTAAGAGCTAGATTTTAAAACCACATAGTCTGAATAGTGTGTGCTCCTAACTGTTATACTGAACTGCACGTGATTTATTAACATGGCAGATCTTGTAGGTGGCTAGTGGCATAGGTTAGGCTTAGGCTTTGGATCTGGTTCTTCTCACTCTGGTTCAAGATTAGGATTGTCTTAAGACATTTCCTTTGTGACCACCCATTTCATGGGTGCATTAGTACTTTGTATTTGATACAGCCTAAAAGTTCAGTTCTGATAACTTTTTTTTTTGGTAATTTCCTTGTTGTTTACAACAGTTCTGTTCAGTAAAGTAGTTATTAACTACATACTCATGGCTATTGAGCACTTGAAATGTGGCTCTTGCAGCTAAACAGCTGAATTTTAATTCATTTAGAGAGCTATACATAGTTAGGCTGCTATATTGAGTGGCACAGGTTTGGAGAGTTTTAATTCCTGCTGTGTGTGTGTGTATGTGTGTGTGTGTGTGTGTGAGAGAGAGAGAGAGAGAGAGATGCTGTGCATTGAACCCAGTGCCTTGTGTTTGGGAGGCATGCATTCTAACAACTGAGCTATATCCCTAGCCCCCTCTGCTTATTTTTTATATGTTTGTATAAGTTAGGATAGTGTTTATGATGTGCTTGAGCTTCTAATAATAATGACAGTGGGAGTGGTGAGCCATTTCACATAATCTCCTTTTGTTATATTACAGTGGAAATTAGGGTTATAGCCTTTAAGATTTTTTTTTCCCCCTGCAGTATTGGGGATTCTACTCAAGGCCTTTGTATGTGCTACACAAGTACTCTACCACTGAACTACATCCCCACCCCTTTTTTCAAATTTTTATTTTGAGATAGTGTCTCACAAAGTTGCCCAGTCTGACCTTGAACCTGACATCTTCCTGCCTAAGCCTCTCAAGTAGCTGGGGTTACAAATCTGTGTCATCATGCCAGGCCTGACTAGGATTTGTCTATGATATTTTTTTCATTCCTACGGATTTAATACCTATGACTTTTACCTGCACCTTGCTCTATAACTTTTAACTTCTACAAATGTTTAATAAATACCAAGATAGACAGTACTACTTGTTATGTGCCAGGTGCTCTACCTTAGTACTTTTATTATTGCTCATTTTTCAGATTAGGAAATCTGATTAAATAGCTTGCCCATCCATAGTCATAAAAGCTAATAAGGCAGCCTGGTCTCAGCACCCATAGTTGTTTTTTTTTTTAAACTGTTATTTTACACTGCCCAAAATTAAAACAAAAAACTGAGCACGGTGGTGCATGCCTACAATCCCAGTGACTTGGGAGGTTGAGGCAGGAGGATCTCCATGGTTATGCACCCCAGGATTCAATCCCCGATCCCCCCCCCCACAAAAAAATGTGTGTGTAACTAAAAAAGTCACAATAGTTCAAAGTAGAGTCCTAGAGAATAACATGATGCCTATAAAGGCAAATTAATGAAAGAATCAGAAGGGAACTCTATTCAAATTTTAAGGAGAATTTTTTTTTTTTTTTTGGTGGGGGGTACTGGGTATGGTACCCTGGGGCATTTTACTAGTGAGTACACCCATAGCCTTTTTTATTTTTAGAGACAGGATCTCACCTGAATTGCCCAGGCTAACCTTGACCATGTGATCATCCTGCCTCAGCGTCCCTAGTAGATAGGATTACATTTGTTTTTTTAAAGAGAGAGAGAGAGAATTTTTTAATATTTATTTTTTAGTTTTTTCGGCGGACACAACATCTTTGTTTGTATGTGGTGCTAAGGATTGAACCCGGGCCGCACGCATGCCAGGCGAGCGTGTTACTGCTTGAGCCACATCCCCAGCCCAGGATTACATTTTTTTAATATTTATTTTTTAGTTTTAGGTGGACACAATATCTTTGTTTTTTAAATTTTTATGTGGTGTTGAGGATTGAACCCAGTGCCCCGCGCATGCCAGGCGAGCGCGCTACTGCTTGAGCCACATCCCCAGCCCCAAATGAGTTTTTTTTGGGGGGAAGGGTCTGTGCTGGGGATTGAACCCTTGTGCATTTGAGGCAAGCACTGTACCAACTGAGCTATATCCGCCCCTGCGCCCCCCCCCCCCGAATTCTTAAGAGCTGAAGCTATGTTTTGAAATTTTATAGTGAATAAAAGGACACTGCTGGAAACCAGTATGTCAATAAAGCCACTTTTGTAGGGAAAAAACAGCCGAAGAAGTAATTTAGTAAAGACTTGAGTTTGTAAATTGAAAGGTTTTGCTGGCTTTCAGGAAACATTAATAGAGATAAAATTGTTCTTTAAGTGTTAAAACATCTTAGCTGTCACCAGGCATGGTAGCACATGCCTATGATCTCAGTGAGTCAGGAGGCTTGGGCAGTAAGATTTCAAGTTTGAGGCTAGCCTCAGAAACTTAGTGATATACCATCTTAAAATTTTAAAAAAGGGCTAGGCATGTAGCTTAGTGGTACAGTGCTGTTGGGTTCAATCCCTAGTACAACCCCCCCCCCAAAAAAAAAAAAAAAAAAGAAAAAGAAGTTTAAATTCTGTTTAAGATATTTACAAAGGAAAGAAAACTGGTTTTCTGCAGCAGTGAAACTTGGAATAATATAAAAAGGCTGATTATTGACCTAAAGGACAGAAGTTGAAGAATTCATCAAGCTAAAATTTGTATTCAAATATATAGGCATATTTGGACATGCAGTGGCTTAGAAATATATGTCTGTAGGTAACCTTTTGAAGAAATGCTCCATTTAAATTAAATTCAGCTGGGCAAGGTGGCACTTGCCTGTGGTCCTATACTTGAGAGGCTAAGGCAGGAGGATCGTAAGATACAGGCTAGCATGGGCAACTTAGCAAGACTCTGTCTCAAAATGAAATTAGTTTAGGATGTGGCTCAGTGGTAGAATGCCCCTGGGTTCAGTTTCCTGTACCACAAAAAATGAATAAACAAACACTTTAGGCACAGTGGTGTATGCCTATAATCCCAGTGACTTAGGAGGCTGAAGCAGGCGGATTGCAAGTTCAAGGCCCAGTCTAAACAATTTAGTGAAGATTTGTACACTGGTCAAATAATACTATTATAGGGGAGGATCTGAATAAGGTACTTTAAAAATTTCACAGATCAAGTGAAAATGATTAACTTAGTATGTACATATTACATTTGTGTCTTAGAAATCATTCATTCTTCCCTCTTTTTGGGGGGGGGGTACTGGGGTGCTTTGCCACTAAGATATACCACCAGACCTTTTTTAAATTTTTTATTTTAGCATGATCTCACTAAGTTGCCCATCTTCCTGCCTCAGCCTCCTGACTTGTTGAGATTATAGGTATGCTTCTCTTTAGGCACAAGGAACGTTTTGCAAAAAGTAATCATGTAATCATAATTTTATGCAAATAAAATTATAATAAATTCCAAAATGTGAAGGTTTTTATGGTTGCATTTTATACCATAAGATGAGAAACTGTAATCAGCCAGGCACAGTGGCACATGCCTGTGATCCTAGAGGCTCAGGAGGCAGAGGCAGGAGGATATCAAGTTCAAAGCCAGTCTCAGCAAAAAGCAAGGCACTAAGCAACTCAGTGAGGCCCTGTCCTTTAAATACAAAATAGGGCTAGGGATGTGGCTCAGTGCCCCTGAGTTCAGTCCCCAGTACACGCCCCCCCCCCAAAAAAAAAGGGAAGAAATTGTTGCATTAGATGATAACCAAAAGAGTTGGGTGTGATGGTGCATACCTGTAATATCAGCAATTTTGGAGGCTGAGGCAGGAGGGTCACAAGTTCAAGACCAATTTAGCAACACCCTGTCTCAAAAAGAGCTGGGGATGTGGCTCCGTGGTAAAGTGCCCCTGGGTTCAATCCCCAGTAACAAAGGAAAAACAACAAAAAACTTATAGGGAAAATTTATAGATATACATTTTATTAAGTAAAACAAAGATAGGGTTGTTTTGTTTTCAGTAATGGGGATTGAGCCCAGAGGTGTTCAACCACTGAGTTATACCCCTAACCCTCTCCCCCACTCTCTCTCTCTCTCTCCTCTCTCTCCCCTCTCTCCTCTCTCTCTCTCTTGTATTTAACTTAGAAGCATCCTATTGCTGAACCCAGTCTCCAGCCCTTTTCATATTTTATTTTGAGACAGTATCTTGCTAAGTTGTTTAGGGCCTTGCTAAATTGCTGAGGCTGGCTTTAAACTTTAACCCTCCTGCCTTCTGAAGAGGGTTAAAGGGTTGCTGAGGTTACAGGCAAGTGCCATCATGCTTGGTCCTTTATATTTGGTTTTATCAGGCATCAGGACACTACCAGTTCAAGACCACCTTATACTCACTTCATGGTTTAGAACATTTTGGACTTTTTTTTCTTGATTTGCTAGAGCCAAGTCAACTTGGTAGGCAGTATGAATTTCTTTGGGTTCATCTTTACCTTGAGACTGCCCTACCCTTTGAGGTTCCAGTTTAGAGTAGATAAGGAGAATCTCCTGCTGTTAGATTTTCAAATTTGAATTTTGTGCATCTTGCCCCATGAGACAGCCAAGGAGGCAACCCACAGAAGTCTAATAAACAAAAGCCCTCAGTGCTTTCATTGATTGAAAGTTCCACTTAGCACTCCTGAACCCCTGGTTCAGTCCCTATTACCAAAAACAACAAAAAAATTTTTCATCACTTTTACTTTTCAGTAGGAAGACTGATGCAAATAATCTAGCCCACCATAATTGGAAAAAGAAATCTCCATGTGTGTTTTAAGAGACTAAAATCAGAATATTCATACCATCTTTTCTGACCAGAAGACATAATATTAAAATATCAATCCTGATTAAATTGCAAAATGTAATGAAAATGGTAGATTATTCTGGCAAAATGATTCTAAAGCAAGTCTGAGAAGGAGCTAGGGGTGTGACTCAGTGGTGGAGCACTTACTTGCCTAGCATGCTGGGGGCTTGGGTTTAATCCCCAGTACTGCAAAAGAAAGTGTGGAAGAAAATATGCATATCAAAACAGTAAGGTGATGGGACTGAAATATTTGAGAATGAAAGAGCATGATGCAAGGCCCTAAGGGTGCAATTTATCCACAAGTTAAGTAAAAATTAGAGAAAACTATAGCAAAAGTGTTCATTATACTGTGTCAGTTTTTTTATAGCTTTAAAATTCTTCAAAATGAGCTGAGCATTGTGGCACATGCCTGTAATCCCAGCTACTTCAGAAGGCTGAGTCTGGAGGATTACCACATTGAGGCCAGTCTAGGCAATTTAGCAAGACCCTGTCTCAAAATAAAAAGGGCTGTTATGTGGCTCAGTGGCAGAGCATTTCCCTAACATCTGGGAGGCCCTAGGTTTGATCTCCAGTACCATAAAAAAATAAAGTAGGGGGAAAAAATAATAAAGTTGGCTGGGGTTGTGGCTCAGCAGTGGAGCAGTGCTCACCTAACACATGTGAGGTGCTGAGTTCCACCCTCAGCACCACATGAAAATAAAGGTATTGTGTCCGACTACAACTTTAAAAAAAATTTTAAAAAAAGAATAAAGTAAAAAAAAAAGTGTCATTTGCATGAGATTAATGCTGAAAATTGTAAAGTTTTAAATGTATATTCTGATAGTTTTAATGGTTTTGGGTTTTTTTGTTTGTTTGTATTTTGGTAACCCAGGGGTGCTTTACCCTTGAGTAACATTCCTAGCCCCTTTGTTCTTACTGTTGTTTTGAGACACAGTCTTGAATAAATTGCTGAGGATCTCACTGAATTGCTGAGATTGGCCTTGAACCTGTGATCCTCCTGCCTTTGCTTTAGGCACCACCATACCTGGCACATACTTTCTTGTTTCATTGCACATCTAATAATTTTTGTTGACAATGACATTTTGAATATTATAATGAGGTAACTCTGGAAATTATATTCTACCCTCCCCAGGATTACTTACTTACTTTTTGCAGTTGTCTGTTTACTGACCTTCTGAAATGCTTTGCAAATTTTGTACTCTCTTTGTGTGTATCACCATCAAGGTTTCTGTTTCATTAGAAGAGTAGTCAGCTTAGTGATTTAAGAGGTTTCTTTAAATACCTGAAAACAAAAAACAAAACTCTGCAAGTTTTCACAAATGGGCTCAATGTGTTGAGGCAGTTTCAGCACTTGGACAGTATAGAACTCTGCCTCAGCTTTCACTTCCCACATGTGCAGAACCTGAAAGTCAGTCAGAGGTGGGAGCGTAGGGTTTTCTCAGATTTTTTTTGCCCATGGCATTTTAGGTTTCCCAAACCTCTTGTGCTCAGACTATTTCCTCACTGGCTTTTTTCCCCAGATTTTATTTGCTTTGTCTGTTGCTTGCCCCAAATGATAGTGCTGCTGCATTTATTTATTTAGGCACCAGGGATTGTATCCAAGGGCACTGAACTGCAGAGCCACATCCCCAGACCTTTTGTTTTTTATTTTTTTAGTTTGAGATGGGGTCTCACTAAGTTGCTAAGGGCCCCACTAAGTTGCTGAGGCTGGCTTTGAACTTGCAGTCCTCCTGCCTCAGCCTCCTAAGCCACTGGTATTATAGGCATTGTTTAGGATCTCACTAAATTGCAGTCTTCCTGCCTAAGGTGCTAGAATTATAGATGTGTGCCACCGTTCCTGGCATTTATTTATTTATTTATTTTAATGTACACAGTAGAGTTTTATTCAGTCATGAAGAAAACAGAAATTATGTCCTTTGCAGGAAAATGGATGGAACTAGAGATGATTCCTGGCTTATTTTTGTTTTCAACAAATATGTGAGTGCTGTCACTCAGCCACCGCAGACTTTATTTTTTGTACTGAGGACTGGAACCCAGGGGTGCCAAGCCACTGAGCCGTTTCCCCAGCCCATTTCTAATATTTTTATTTAGAGACAGGGTCTTGCTGAGTTGCTTAGCGCCTTGCTAAATTTCTGGGGATGGATTTGAACTCACAATCCTCTTGTCTTGGCCTCTTGAACCACTGGGATTACAGACCTGGACTACTATGCTTGGCCTTTTTATTTTTTGAGACAGGGTCTCTCTGAGTTGCTGAGACTGGTCTCAAACTTGGGATCCTCCTCCCTCAACCTCCTGAGATACTGATATTGCAGTCATACAACCATTCCTGGCTCCAGGCTAGTTGAATTCAATACTCTAATGAGTATTCAAATTCAATCAAAATGATATATAGAGGCTAGGTTGTAGCTTAGTGGTAGAGCTCTTGCCTAGCATGTGAGACACACTGGGTTTCATCCTCAGCATCACATAAAAATAAAGTATTATACCTATCTACAACTAAAAAATATTTTTTAAAAATGATATGTATAGGGGCTGGGGTTGTGGCCCAGTCATAAAGTACTTGCCTGGCATGTGTGAGACATGGGGGTCAATCCTCAGCACCACAATTAATCTTTTTTTTTTTTTTTTTTGGCGATGCTGGGGATTGAACCCAGGGCCTTATGCATGCGAGGCGAGGCAGGCACTCTACCAACTGAGCTACATTCCCAGCCCATCAGCACCACATTTAAAACAAGACAAATAAATTAAAAGTATTGTGCCCATGTACAACTAAAAATATGTTTAAAAATGATATGTATAAAGGCAGCCTTGAGGGCTGGGGTTGTAGCTCAGTGGTAGAGGGTTTGTCTAGTATGTGTGAGGCACTGAGTTCGAGTCTCAGCACGTCATATAAACGAACAAATAAAAATAAAGGTCCATCTACAACTAAAAAAAATAATTAAAAAAAAGCCTTGAATACCTGATGCCATGATTTGACTTGACCTGCTATCTCTGTAGTTCACTAGATATGTAACCTAGAACAGGTCACTTAAGTCCAAGTTTCTTCATTATTGAAATGAATTTGATCATAATGCCTCCAACAATGAGACTTTTCCCCCCACCCCTATGTACTGCTGAACCACATCCCCTGCTGCTATTTTTATTTTTGAAATAGAGTCTTGCTAAGTTGCCCAGGCTGGCCTCAAACTTGTGATCCTCCTGCCTCAGCCTCCCGAGTTACTGGGATTGTAATCCCATGCCACGTGGAAGCCATAGGAAGTGTCTTGGTTTCTAGATTTTGCTTTGTTTTGGTACGAGGGATTGAACCCAGGGGTACTTAATCATTGAGCCACATGGGGGGGGGCTTTTTTTTTTTTTAATATCCCTGTGGTGCTGGGGATTAAACCCAGGGCCTTGTGCAAACAAGGCAAGTACTCTACCAACTGAGCCATATCCACAGCCTCCCCAGCCTTTTGTTATATTTTATTTATAAACAGGGTTGGTCTCAGTTGCTTAGGGCCTTACTAAATTTCTGAGGCTGACTTTGAACTCAAGATCCTCCTGTCTCAGTCTTCTAAGCTGTTGGGATTTTTTTTTTTAATAGACTTTTTTTTTTTAAGTTGTCAGTGGCCCTTTATTTTATTCATTTATGTACTTACTTTATTTTTATTCATTTATGTACTTATATGTGGTGCTGAGAATTTTGAACCCAGTGCTTCACACATGCAAGGCAAGCACTCTACCAACTGAGCTATATCCCCAGCCCTCTAGATCATTTTTGATGACTTCAATTTTGATTTGTTTTCCAGACATTGCTTGACAGATTATTATTAATTATTATCTTTCACTGGGATGTATACTGAAATCACAGGTTGTTTGATGAAGTGATGATAGGCAAAAATCTGACCTCAAGTGCATGGAATTGGTCTCTGCTACTTACTGTTTATATTTTCATTTTCTACTGGTAAGCATCAGAGAAGAAAGGAGGGAGTTCCCTGTTGACTCTGGAATTTGCTGAGTCGGATTTTTGTTAGTACAAGCTTAAAAAAGAGAGATTGCTTTTGTGTTTATTTAGGTAAACTTTAGTCAGTGGAAGCCTTTTGTTTGTTTTTTGGTACTGGGGATTAAATCCAAGGGTATTCTACCACTGAATTATATCCCTGGTTCTTTTTATTTTATTTATTTATTGGTAGTACTAGAGATTGAACCCAGGACTTTGCATGCTAGGCAAGCATTTTACCACCTGAGCTGTATCCCCAGGTCCTTCATTTTTCACTTTGAGACAGGGTCTCGCTAAATTGGCAAAGCTGGCATGGAACTGTGCTTCTTCTGCTTCAGCCCCTCAACCACCAATAGCTGTGATTACACACCTGTGCCACCATACCTGGAAGTTAGAACATTTTTGGAGGGATGCCAGAGATTGAACTCAGGAGCACTCTATTACTGAGCCACATCACTAGCCCTATTTTGTATTTTATTTAGAGACAGTTTCTTAATGAGTTGCTTATAGCGCTTTGTTAAATTGCTGAGGCTAGCTTTGAACTAGCCTCCCTTTTTCAGCCTACCGAGCTGCTGGGATTGCAGGTGTGCGCCACAACCCCTGGTAGAACATTTTTTAAAAGCAAGTTAGGATTATTCTACATGTATATGTTTAATACATATAGTTACTACTTTTAATTTTTTAGTTCCAGCTCAATATTGAATACTCTATACTTGGTGCTAAACTTAATTGGGGGGGGGGGGTTACCGGGGATTGAACTCAGGGACACTTAATTACTGAGCCACATCGCCAGCCCTAAACTTAATTTTTCTCTGTTATTTTTTCTAATAATTAAAGATGTAGGGGCTGGGGCAGGGGCTAAGTGGTAGAGCACTTGCCTGGCACACGTGAGGCTCTGGGTTTGATCCTCAGCACATTTTTTTAAAAAAAGGTATTATGTCCATCTACAACTAAAAAGTGTATTAAAAATATATATATAAGTGTGTCCCTGAGTAGTTCAATCCCTGGTTAAAGAAAAAAAAAAGATGGTTTATGCTAATACTTATTGATATGGTAGTCTTTTGAAAGGTAGGATTTAGTGGATATAAGTTGGGAAATGATAAATGAAGAGCTACTATACAATAGAGAATATAGCTAAACTTAATGGTTGGTTGAGATGTAATTAAGTAAATTGCAAAGCAAGGTCAATCACTGTTACTAATAGCTATTGAGGAAAATCTAAAATGTAATTCATTTGAAGATGAACATAAATAAGTATTTGGTAACCTGACTTATAAGAATGAGTAATTTTCTGTAGAGGAACTGATTGCTGTTTAGTCAAACTTGTCATCAAAATAGTTTATTTCATCCAAACATTTTTTGGGGGGAAGGTGCTGGGAATCAAACTCCATGTTGTGCAAGTGCTCTGTCACTGAGCCATATCCCTAGCCCCTTCATTCAACTTTGTTTGGTACTGGGGATTGAACTCGGGGACACTCAACCTCTGAGCCACATCCCCAGCCCTATTTTGTATTTCATTTAGAAACAGGGTCTCACTGAGTACTTAGCATCTTGCTTTTCGCTGAGGCTGGCTTTTATTTTTATTTTGAAACAAGGTCTTGATAAATTGCTGGGGCTGACCTGAAACTTGGGGTCCTCCTGCCTCAGCTTCCTGAGTTGTTAGGATTATAGGCATGTGCCACCAAGCCTAGCAATACTCTACTGACACTCTAGCACATGACTCTCAGTCTGAATCTGCCTCTCCCACCCGCTCCCCCCACTACTAGAAATTAAACCTAAGAGTGCATCTCCCCAACCCTTCTCAAGACACAGTTTTGCTAAGTTGTCCAGACTGGCCTCAAACTTGGTAAACCCCTGCATCAGCCTTTTGAATCACTGGAATTACAGGCATAGGCCACACACTACCCTATCCCACCACTGCCTAATTAATATATTTTTATTTGAGTGAAAGTAGTATCAAATAGTAGGTCTGGGTTTTTTAGAATCTCTTCAATAGCTGATAACATGATGTAACCTAATTGATATATTGTAGGCTAAAAGTTAAAGCATTATGTTTCACATTCTAGAAATAATAGAAAATGTAGAAAGAGCAAGCAGTGTAGCTCAGTGGTACAAAATAGCCTGGGATCAATCCTTAATATCCACCTCCTGCCAAAAAAAAATTTAAAACTTAAAATTGTATTTCAGTGAAATCCAGACACAGAGGAATTCAATGTAGACCTGGAAAAAAGCAAATAAGGCAGTGAACTCTGAAGAAACTTAATGACAGTGGACTGAGGGCTTAAGGCATTGGTTTGTTTTTA